ATTTTTTCACGACAAATTTTGTTTGAAACAGTTACACCATAATTATCCTTTTAACTTACGTGTAACGTACAGTTTTTTACTGTACACTTTACAATTGGTTAAGTATGCTTTGCCGATGTTTGATTGTATAGCTCCGCCGTGGCGTCATCGCAGTTTAGATTTTCGTCGTTTTTAATTTTTTTTATTTTATGTGATCTTAGAATAAATATTAAGCTATAGGTATCATTAAATTGTAGGCTTGGTTGTAGGTAGGTATACTTTAGATGGCTCGTAATGTAGTATATGTAGGTACTTACAATAATTATTGTTGCTGCTTCCAAGGATAATGACAAATTCTTTCTGCATTTCAGAAGCTGTCCGAAAGCGGTTTCAATGCTACCGACAATAATATTAAAAAATCAATTTTGGCGTATTTAGCAGGTGTTGGGAACAAGGAAGGCGGGCGGAAGAGTAGCTGACATCATTTCATATAATATCAGTTTCTTGTTATTTACAAAACATTTATTTCGAATGTATCTTTTTATTGTTTCGTAAATTTATTTAATTTTCTATAACATAATAAAAAAAATCATATACCGAACAATTTTTTATTTCAGTGTTCTATTCTATTATTATTTCTTNCAGACCGACAGCGAAAGAAATGTAAACCTAGGAATAAGCAGTAAGACGTTGAAAATAAAAGGGTAAAGACTGGCTTCTGAACAGTCGAGAGCGACTATATTATGTGAATATTAATTGAGAGCAAAACGCATGCGTGTCACCCCTTTGAGTGCACTGTTGCCCGGCAAGGTCCGTGGTTCCTTCGAGTGGGGTTACTCGTAGTTCAAGGGGTGCTACGGGCTACTCGAATGACGTGATTGGGTTCGAGAGGGTAGCCTCATAGGTAGGTGCCCCCGAACTGGTCACTGGGATGCTAACATCTACGGATGGTTGGGTGTCCAGGGAAGCCTTTACTTATTTTAGGTTGACACTAGCTAGTCGTCGAAGAAAAGTAGACAAATGGTAATTCACATATCTTGAATATGAGTTGGTTATAACGACAGATCCTGTGGGAGCTAGGGGGAAGAAATCCCCCGGGTGAGTAATTGAAACAATCATTATTAATTGCGAACGGAACAGTAACTGTTTATGTTTTTTTTGATATCTGCGATTTTCCTGTCGAGTCTATAAATCATTTGCCGCTGCTGAGTGACCGCTTCGTGATGACCCATGCAGATTGTTATTGATATGAAGAACTATCTTCAGGTAACATCTTCAATTAATTATTAAAGTTTTACAAGAGAAAAGGTTGCATAGTAATCCGAGGCTTAAACAGATGTATGTTGATTTTATGCGAGAATATTTGCCACACCACCGGGTTTTGAAAGAAAATAGTACGACCACCAAGTTAAGGGTCGTTTTCAACGCGTCGGCGGAAACTACATCGGGACTATCCTTAAACAATGTCTTAATGGTAGGACCAGTCATTCAGCGCGGCTTATTTTCGATATTATTAAAATTTCGTAAACACAACGTGGTAATCATGGCCGATATCGAGAAAATGTATAGACAGGTTAGCGCAGTGGTTTCCAACCTTTGGGGCGCGCCCCTCTATGGGGGCGCGAGACTGTTGCAAGGGGGGAGGGCATGCAGCTGTTTCCAAAATATTATTTTCGAATACAAACCAAAAAAAGCTAAAACATTCATCCATTTTATGTATATTTTTACATAATATTGAGTATATTATTCTGTAGCCCATGTTTTTTTTTTTGATATCTGCGATTTTCCTGTCGAGTCTATAAATCATTTGCCGCTGCTGAGTGACCGCTTCGTGATGACCCANTCTAATCTAATCACAACAATGAAGTTACGGAATCAATAATAACTGTATTATCTAATGGGAAGTTAGTCGTATTAGCACCGACCAAAGCGTGCTCAGACCAATTTTTTATTATTATTATTATGCAGGCGTATATATACAATATTGTTACAAAACGTAATAAGAATTATTATACAATGTTGTACAATGTTTTCCTTACTGATGGCATAAGATTGGATAGTAATCTACCTTTTCTATGCATCAGTGAAGGAGCTCTGCCGTAGGTTACGATATTTACACAGTATTTACAAGTACAATATTTCGCTGAAGGCCGAGGCCTGTGCGCGAACCTGCTTAAACTATCTCTAAGTATAATTTAAACTAATACAATATTTTATACAATTTGATTCCGCTCAAGTAAGACATTATAATAAGGGTAAAAGTATAATTGATCAAAAAACAGAAAATTTATGTTATTGGTTGGAGGAGGCTTTTCATTTCCTTCAATGAGAGAGCTATCAACCATTTTCTTATTGTTCTACTATTTTTCAAAGTATTTAAAGAGTTCTCTTTATATGATATGGGCAGAGCGTTAAAAGCTTTACAACCAATGTAGCAATAGCCTCTGCGATCAATTTCTTTGTTAACTTTTTTCATTGGTATATTAACCGTTCTATGAGATTTAAGTTTACGTTCAGGATAAGTACTTTGGTTTAAGTTAAAATTTGTATAAATGGACTTTTCAACGAAGTACTTTTTTATGCTAATAATGTTGTTTTCTAAAAATAGTTTTTCTGATTCGTAATACAGGGGTTTATTGAATATCTATTTTAATATCTCTTTTTGTACGCAAAGTAAAGGGTTTAAATCCATCTTGAGTATATCATTTATATACAATATAAACAAGATCGGTCCGAGGACAGTGCCCTGCGGTACTCCACATTTTACAGTTAACTCGGTGCTACAAGAACCGTCTATTTTTACAATCTGCTTTCTGTCGGTAAGGTAACTATTCATAAGTTTGAACGCATGACCTCTAAAACCTAAGTCGTATAATTTGGCTAAGAGAATCGAATGATCGACGGTATCGAAAGCTTTCGCGAGATCGAGAAATACAGTTATACATGGTGTTGACGTACTTATAGCATCGTGTATCGCATCAATTACATTTATCAACGCGTTATCCGTACTAATTCCTGACTGAAAACCAAACTGGTTTGGACTAATTATACTATTTTTTTCAATGAAATTTGTTATTCGTGCTTTCAAAACCTTCTCAAAAATTTTTGTAAAATTTGAGATTAAGGAAATTGGTCTATAATTAGTCGTTTTACTAGCACCACCCGATTTGTAGATTGGAATTATTTCAGCTTTTTTGAAATAATCTGGGAAGGTTGACGTTTCAATACATAGATTTAAAATAAAAACTAATGGTTTAGTTATAGATTTAGAGATGACTTTGAGAATTTTAGTAAAAATGTTATCAACTCCTGATGCCTTATCTTTAAGTTTTTTAATAAGATCCAAGATTTCCAATTCGTTCGTCAGTGCTAAGTACCTAAATCGAGTTTTGTATTTTGGTACGCGCGGTTTCATCAGGAATATCATGTACGAATTTACTAGTCATTGTCGGCCCAACATTTGTAAAAAAGTCATTGAATTCATTAGCGATTTCTTGTTTATCGCAAATTAAAGTGTCTTTACTATTCGATAAAATTTCTTCAATACTATCTTTTTTTTGTGTGCCACTCTTTATTTTGGAGTTAATAAATTGCCATAATTTTCTATTATCTGTTTTTATTTTAGTAACGATGTTGCCATAAAAGTTTGCTTTTGCTAGCTGAATCATTGTTTTTAATTTATTTTTGTATTCGTTGTATTTCCTCTTTAGTTCTGGATTAGTTGGGCTGACTTTTAATTGACTATACAGTCTATTTTTTATTTTGCATGATTTTAGAAGACCGTTTGTCATCCACTCTTTACGCGCGCATTTACTAATTTTCTTTCTACTAGCCGTCGAGGCTTCATTAATGTGATAATGAATTTTCTCGACAAATTTCTCAACTGCTAAATTCGCATTGGTTTGATTATAAATTTCATTCCAATTTTCCTTCTCAATATTACAACTCAATTTTGCGAAAATCTATTTTATTATAAACAACCGAATCTACTTTTTTGACATTGTTTTTTGTTTCTATTTTTAAAAATAAAAAGGTCGAAAAATGATCTGTAATTCCGTTATCATATATCATTGAAAGGACTTTAATGTTTTCATTTAAAATGCCAAAAATATGATCAATGCAAGTTGCGCTTTCATTTGTTACTCTTGTCGGGAGATTGATAAAAGAGTGATAACCGTTTTCGTAGTAATTATTAATGTAATTATTTGTTTTTGCACTTTCATGTAATAGATCAATATTAAAGTCACCGATAATCAGATGATTTTGTACACTTTTATTCTCGAGTAGAAAGGAATGAAGATCATCAACAAATTCGTTTATTGCAACACAGTGTGACTTATAGAGTGAAGTTATCATTAATTTTTCGTGACCTAAATCAATTTCCGTGTTTTGGTGTTTGAGTTTTGACGAAACGTAAACACAAGTTCCGTCGCACATGTTTATCTCGCTGTCTACATAATAGAAAGTATAATCATCAATTTCGTATAATCCAGGTAATATTATTTTGTGAGTCTCCGTGCATATTATTACATCTGGTCTTGGTTTTAAAGATTCTACATAAATTTTTAGCTCATCAAAATTTTTATTAAGACTACGGATATTTAAATGCAAGATAAACACACCTTTTTTATCATGTACTAAGTTACTTATTTGAGTTAAATCAGAACATTCGATCGTTTCAACTTCAGTCTGTAACTCTTGTGTTAGGATCATTAGTTAAAGTTTAGCAGTAGTTTGTCTGATTTATAACCCGCTTTTTATAAAATTGATAGGTCGCGCACGCGTTTTCGTCAAAAGCGAAATGAGCAAGGTCGTGTTGAGTGCCGAATTTTTGGTTCGTTTTCGAGCAGTTCGCACAACGTTTGTTACCCTTATCGGGGCACGACGCACCGTCGTGGTTTTCCGCACAATACTGGCAACTAACGTCGCTTTGACATTTCTTCGCGCTGTGTCCGTAGCCGTTGCACTTGAAACAGCGGCTCAGGTTGAAGTCTTCGTACACGCGACACCTTTGCCACCCGATGTAGACCGTTTTGTTTTTCATGACCGTGTGGAATAGCTAGGGCGCTAGTTCCATGAAGATTGTTTTTGTGCCTTTTTTTTTGTTATTCAGTACATGAACGATTTTGTGGTCATCGTTCGTGTAATTCAGAAAGTTCTGAGAAACGATTAGATTTTCAATGTCTCCCGGGTCGATGTCGCCGTCGACTTCGACGATCTTAATGCGCGGTTTCTTCATGTCTAAGGTTTTGATTTCACAGTTCAAGCCTGATATTTTCTGGATCTCTTTTTTCATTGCCTCATTATTTTTGACGTTGTTACATTTAATCAGAAGCGAACCGTTTTTTGTCTATTTGAGAGTGTCAACTGAGATGTTTAAATCGCGTAATTTGACTTCGTTTTTTATTTTTTTCAGAATTGTGCCTCTTGTGGTTTGTTCCATTGGTTTGACAAGAATAGGGGATACTTTTTTTTCTGAGGAAGCGATTTCAGCGTATGACTTAGTTACGTGTGGAACGATATTTGCACATATTATTTCCTAAGATTGGATCAATATTCTATTTCAATATTGGGTTAATATTAAAAATCTCCATTGGGCCAATAAAAAAAAATCTGACGTTTCCATTATTGAACCAATATGTAAATATAATATTTTACCAATATTGTTGTGCTACTGGGGCAGTGTATTGCCAATAGACTAGAATTGAGACGAAACTGTTGACAAATGCTTTTTTGCTTAAATTTTAATATTTGAAAGCCAAATAACCTTTCAAGGCGGGCGGCCTTATGTTAATCATGAGCCATTATTCGCCGAAACATTTTTTATATTAGAAAATACTACAAATGGCGTGGTGAGCGCCATCTATAGTACGATGCTACATTTGAGGATAACATATGTTCCAACAAGGTCCATTTAAAAATATGGATATCTACTTGCTGAAACGAATCCCGGAGTAGCTCACCTCAACGTGATAGGCACGTTACCATAATCGAACAAAATAATTCGAAGTGGTCTGTGTTCTGTCGAAACTGCCAGACGCGGATAGCGATTTCGATCTTTTTGGATCTCATCGCGATCCGCGTCTGGCAGTTTCGACGGAACACAGACCACTTCGAATTATTTTGTTCGATTTTTTATATTGTTTGGTTCGATAAGCGGTATCTTTAATGTATACCTATAGTATGTTTAGAAATGAAAATTTAAGTTAATATAGTGTTCAACAAATTCAGTGTTTCACTAAAACTCTCAGAATATACTGGACAACGGACTGGTCGTCAATAACGCGGCGAAAGCCCAAACAAATGTCAATACATTCCAATAGAAATAACGCACTGACTGTTATAAAAAAACAAATGCATACAAGTGTGCAATAAGTAAGTACGTTTTGTAGACTGATGGAGAAACATATACATTAGAATGATCGGTAAAAATTGCATTTTTTGCGACTCTTAAAAAGCTTCTTTTTGATGGAACGCGAAGGAAGAAAGGAAATTGCGTTAAAAATAAGAAGACAATACAAGGAAGACGATTGAAGTTCATTTTTTGTAAAATTNCAATAATGTATAATTATTATCCTCATTTTAATCAGTAAACTTTAAGTAATTTTCCAACTAAAATCCCTGTCCCTATGTTAGCGTACTTCATTAGGTGTATATTACACAAACAAGTGTACAGTCACGGAAAGAAAATTATTGAATATTTATATTTATATTGTCCTTATTTGCATATTTGGGAATGTTGTTTTCTATATTGTAATTATTTGTGCAACAAAATTAGAAATGTAATTCATTTACAGGATTGTAAGAAATAATTCTAAGTTTATTTGCCTCGGATTACAATAATTTTAGTCACTAGATGCTCTTGTCCTTTTTCACACACCATCACCTTGCCAAGCCGGATTAGTAATTGGTAATTCCCATGGTAATTTTTCCCGTAAGAAGGACCTCGTCATCCTTATTATTTTCTAGTGTGCCTCGCTATCGGCATCTGCGTTTGGCCATTGTTTTTTCCACAGGATGCTACCATTCGGCTCTTCCTGACCTGCCAAGTGTCCTACTTGCAATGTGTCAATTCTGATTTTTGGTTTCCTAAAAAATAAATTGTCTCAGATATTGGATTTTAGCAAGTTGTGTAATGTGTGAATCGGGTAAGATAACCGATTCTAGCACAGAGGAGTAGGTAAGTGAGAAAACGTCATCGAGGAAAGAAGTAGGGATACGTTTAGGAGGAGGAAGGAGATGTGGTTGAGTAGAAGGGAGTATAAATGAAAGACAACCAAAGGAGTGTTGCACTTAAAAGGTAGAAGTGTGAAAACTGAAGTGTGAGGATGGATGTAAGTAGCGGCAACTGTATTCATGAAGTGTGTGGTGGTGTAGAAGACGTACAATATTGGAATGTTGTTGAACATGTGGAGGTTTTGGACGATGTACATCGTAATGTCGTGTTACATAGAGGAGACTACGTGGATAGACAGCAGTACAGTGAAAATAAAGCAGTGAGGTATGTAAGTGACATCAGTCGAATAAAACAGTGGAGCGTAGCCCGTAAACTGTTTGAGTGCAAAATTAACTATAAAGCATGTTCTGCTTACGTCTTGTACTGCGATAGGAATAATCTTCGTAATCTACCTATGTGTGGGAGTTGTCGGTATGGAGCGAACAATGGTAGAATAATATCGTTGTATACGCGAGTACCGAATTTGTGGATGTTAGAAGTTCACCTCCACGACGAAGTCCACATTCATTGCGGATGGTGTGGAGAGATTTGCAGTTGCGAATTTGTTTGCACCCATAATCATCATTTAAGGAGGGATAGTACATTTGAAGAAGGTTATGTGAGGGAAATTTGTAATAATATCGTAAATGTTGATGGAGCGTAAACATGTATATACTACAATTTGTTCTGAAATAAATGATGATGTAATGTGGAAGTAGATTTAATAAAAACAACAT